GTCCTGTAACTGGTGGTCGGGATGTTGTTGTCCATCTCCGTCTTCACATCCTTATACCATTGTTCGACCGCGTCGTCGATGTCATTAGGGCTGGCTTCTTCCAGGTTTCTCCCCTGCTTGAGACTGAGAGACTCCTTGAAAGAGTCCCAGTCTGCCCGTTTGAGGTTTGACCTGATGTTGGCGGGTATCATAATGGGATTGGATGAGAGCGTCACGACGACTGGCAGGTGATCGCTGGTACTGATGGGTCCGGCGGTAACGTGCCTGTTCAGGACGGCCTCGTTGTTAGAGAGGATTATGTCGGGTGTTGTGGCACTGGCACGTCTGATCAATGTCGGGAAATCTGGCCCGAGGTGTTGCAGTTTTCCCCTTCTGATGTTGTCATACAGCGCCACACCGACGTTGTTCTCATTACCGTGTCCGAGTATGGCGTGGCGCGCATTTAAGTCCCCTATGATGTATGTTGGTTTTCTGTGGCGTAGCAACTGGTTTAGGTCTTGTTCGGGTAAGTAAGGACGTCTGGGAGGTAGGTACATCGTGCATATGATAACAGGTCCCCTAGTTGTCTCCACCTGCACTCCTAGAACTGAATCCTCGAAGTCTGGCAACACTCTATGACTCAGACGTGACCTGACGGCCACAGCGACACCATCGTTCAGCTCACCCGTCATGTTCCTCTGGTATAATCCCTATCGTGGACGGATTAACACATAGCTGGTGTTGTTGAGTCTCAGGGGCAGTTATCACTGGGTACCTGGGACCTCACTGTGTGAAGGTTAACTTGGGTATGACTCAGCCTAGAACTTGTTGATATTCCGGTGGGGAGGAGGGTTCAGGGGAGGGAGTTGGTATGGGGGCCAACTTAACAGTTGGCCTGGCTGCTCCTAGAGGAGCGCCAGGTACGTCTTGACCCTTCGGTGGTCAAGGATGTAGAGTGTGCGTGTGTATGTGTGTATGTTCATTTCGTTATATCAAATTCAGTAAAGGTGAATATGAGGATGCATTATTCTAATGAATTTCTGAACTTCTGATACAAAAGATTTTTCTTCACACCTCAAATATTCCGTCAGTAAATTAGAGCGAGAATTGCAACACATGAATATTTATCATCACTGATGCAAGAATTCTAATGTGTTGTGTTTACGTTAAATATATATATAGTAATAACGTGGTTGTGTAAAGAGCTCCGGTTATTAGAGTGTATGAGGCGGCGTCACCACCAGCCTATATACTCAGTCATTATCTGTGATGAGATAACTACAGTCAACACCTGCACCATGACCCACCTGTCTCTGCCCCTGAAGCATTTACAGCATTACCATTGAAGTGTGTGTGTGTGTGTGTGTGTGTGTGTGTATAGGAAAGAAGTTTATTTGTACTTAAAGACCTAAAAATAGGTATAATGCCGACTCTGAAACCCAAAACTGATCCTTCAATAAATATAAATATGTTATTTATTGAGATATGTAAACACACACACACACACACACACACACACACACACACACACACACAGCCTAAGATCGCAGGATGATAATAAAATATCACCAACACTACTACCATCATCACCAACACTACCATCACCAACTTCATCACTACCATCGCCAGCACAACCATTGCCACCACCATCACCACCATCATCACCACCACCCTCACCAACATTACCATCACCATTATCACCACCACCATACCCGTCTGATTCAACCAAAGACAACCAACCTCCATTTTTTCATATAATTAGTTGATTCGGTTGACACACTTAACTCGTATCCCCTTCTAGTTTATGCTTGTGGTTGTTCTTGGTTGTACAGGTTTATAGATACTGTGGACTGTGGTTGAGAGAAGTGTAATTTCCACAAAACTCTGGTAATGTTATTCGTATGGTGACACCTGGTAAGGACTGTGGCATCTTAGTTCGTGCCCAACTTGGTATCTGGGTAAGAATTTTACGTAAGGTAACTTTAGCTTAGTTTAGTTCATAAGACGTGTGTGTGTGTGTGTGTGTGTGTGTCTGTGTGTGTGTGTGTGTATGTGTGTGTGTGTGATGAAACGATCGTGTGGGATGGAGGAAACGATGGAGATGTTTGTGAACGCTGCTATTTTTTTTCATTTTTTTTCTTAGAATGGAGTTTCGTCACTGAGAGTCTCCAGTAACTTACCTACCTACCTATCTGTCTACGTGTCTCTCTCACCAACTACCTATCTACTCATATATACCTACCTATTTGCTTTATTACCTACATAACTACCTCCCCCACCTCTCCCCACCATCACCAGGAGCTCCATCATCGTCCTCCTCTTTCTCCTCCTCTCCATCACCACTCCCTCGTCACCATACGTCGCTGTCACAACTGAGTCAAGAGGGAGAAATTTCCTCCCGTCACCAGAAACTTCCCCACCCCTCTCCACCCCCAGCAGAGATGCCCCCCAACGCCTTCTCCCCTAGCCAAGACGCTTCCGCCCCAACTAAGACGCTTTCTCCCCCATCCAAGACGCCTCCCCCTCAGCTAAGACACACCACTACAACTCACCTGTTAAGATACCCCTCTCCAGTTGTGAGCTCCCCCTCCTACCCCTGGTGCCAAGACAACATCCCTTAGATCACATGAAGATTAAGAGCCACTGTTTACTCACCTGATGATTGAACACCTCCTGCTAAATGAGAGGGGGGGGTTAGGTTTAAGGTTAAGTCACGTTAGGTTACGCTAGGTCAGATTATGTTATGTTGGTTTAGATTAGGTTAGAATAAGTTAGGTTAGATGAGTTTCTCTTAGCTTAGGTTAGAGTAAGGTATGTTAAGGTTAGACTAGGTTATGTTACGTTAGGTTAGTTTAGCATTAGAGGTGTTTTAACCATTAGTTGTGATAACCTAGACTCCAAGCAGACATACCCCCCCCACCCCTACCAGACCCCTCCATCTCTCCCTCACACCCCTCCACTGGTAGAGAAATCCCCCTCCCATCCTCCCTTACTCCCCAGCAGAGACAACCTCCCACCACTCCCCCCTGGCGTTGCCTTGGTGAACCGTGACTCACTCCCCTCGCCATTTTCCCTCGTTGCGTTTTCTATGTATTTATATCCTGTTGTTCCTGTTAGAAGTCTTTGGGAGTATTATCTAAGGCGGTGGATAATAAAGTAGGAAGATATTATAGAAACTGTGTTAGGTGGGGTTTGGGAGGGAGGGAAGAAGACGGGGAGGGGGAGAGAGATTAGGGTGAGGGGTGAAGTTAAGGGGAGGGGGTATTGACTAGTGAGGGGTATAACTAAGGTAGTGGCAGTGAAGGGTGAAGGGAGGGATAGTGGTGAGGGGTGGCGATGAGGGGTGGCGATGAGGGGAGAGGGGTGGCGATGAGAGGAGAGAGGGTGGGTAGTGAGGGTTACAGGAGAGGGTAGGGGAACAGTGAGGAGGAGGGGTAGTGAGGGGAAGGATGAATATGTAAATGGATAGAAGAGACAGTGTGGAGAGAGGGGAGGGGTACAGATATAAACAAAAAGAGAGGAGAGAAAGGATAGAGGTGAGGAGAGAGGAGACGTTGTGAGGGGAGGAGAGAGGTAGTGAGGAACAATGTGAGGGGGAAGAGAGGGGTAGGAACATATGAGGGTAGGGAGAGGGGTAGGAGAAACAATGTGAGGGGAGGATAGGTAGTGAGGAACAATGTGAGGGAGGAGAGGGGTAGTGAGGAACAATGTGAGGGGAGGAGAGGGGTGGTGAGGAACATGTGAGGGAGGAGAGGGGTGGTGAGAACAATGTGAGGGGAGGAGGGTGAGGAGGTGTGAGGGGAGGAACAATGTGAGGGTAGGAGTGAGGAACAATGGAGGGAGGACAATGTGAGGGGAGAGAGAGGAACAATGTGAGGAGGAGAAGGAACAATGTGAGGGGAGGAGTGGGATATGTAGGGAGGGGAACAAGGGGAGGGAGGGAGGAGGAGGGAGGAGGGAGGAGGAGGAGGGAGGAGGGGAGGGAGGGGGAGGAGGAGGGGGAGGGAGGAGGACATGAGGGAGGGAGGGAGAGGGAGGAGGGAGAGGAGACAGGAGGAGGAGGGAGAGAGGGAGGGGAGGGAGGGGAGGAGGGAGGTGGAGAGGGGAGGGAGGAGGGGGGAGAGGGAGGGAGGGAGGGAGGGAGGAAGGGTGAGGGGAGGGAGAGGTGAGGAGGGAGGAGGGAGAGGAGGAGGAGAGGGGGAGGAGGGAGGAGGAGGGAGGAGGGGGAGAGGAGGGAGAGGAGGGAGGGAGGGAGGAGAAGGGGAGGGAGGGAGGGAGGTGAGGGAGGAGGAGGGAGGGGAGGGAGGGAGGGAGGAGAGAGAGGGAGGAGGGAGGAGGAGGGAGGGAGGAGGGAGAGGAGAGGAGGAGGAGGAGGGAGGAGGGGAGGGAGGGGAGGGAGGGGAGGGTGGGAGTGGGTAGTGGGGAGGGAAGTGGGAGGGGGAGGAGGGAGAGGGAGAGGAGGGAGGGAGGGAGGGAGGAGAGGGGGGGAGGAGGGAGGAGAGGAGGGAGGGAGGAGGGGGAGGGGAGGGAGGGAGGGAGGGGGGAGGGAGGGATGAGGTGAGGGGGGAGGGAGGGAGGGAGGGAGGGAGAGAGAGAAGGGGAGGGAGGGGGGGGTGGGGGGAGGTAATGAGGTGCAGGGTGAGGGGGGAGGGAGGGGAGAGGGAGGGGAGGGAGGAGGAGGGAGGGGAGGGAGAGGAGGAGAGGAGGGAGGGGAGAGGAGGGAGGAGGGGAGGGAGGTGAGAGAGGGGAGGGGAGGTGAGGTGAGGGAGGGGAGGGGAGGAGGGAGGGAGGGGAGGGGAGAGTGAGGTGAGAGAGGGGAGGGGAGGTGAGGTGAGGTGAGGTGAAAGAAGGGGAGGGGAGGTGAGGTGAGAGAAGGGGAGTAAGCTAGTGGGGGGTACGGGTGAGGGAGAGCACGGGCACAGCCGGCACCTCACGAGGTAGCAGTGAGGAGTCTTGGTGGTGGCAGTGATGCGGTGGCACCCTGGGCCTCGCAGGAAGTGCCAACACCAGTGCCACTGTACCCACTCGCGGTGCCGCCTGCCCCTCCTTGCTGCTCGTGGTGCCGACACTGTCTTCTTTCCCTCCCCTGCGGTGGATTATCAGAGGGCGGAGGGACGCAGCAGAAGGCTCGGTGGGGGTCGAACGTGTGCTGGAACAATGCTGAGTGTGAGGGTTCGACACCCACCACACGCCTGTCGACAGTGTGAGATCCTAGTGTAAAAATCCGCATTAGTAAATTGCGCTAATGACCTCTCGTGTGTATAGCTGGAAGACCTCCTTGATGTACAGCGGGTGTGTAAAGTGGCCGGTGAGGGAGGGAGGGAAGGTAACAGCCTAGTAACGTGTAAATATCTGGGTGAGGGAGGGAGGGAGTGACACCTGTATCTGGCTGTGTTGCTGTGAACCGAGAGGACCTACCTCACGGAGTCCACCCTGGAGAATTGTGTACTCGCGCAAACTACTGACCACATGTACGAACACAGATACACACACAGACACACACACACACACATACACACACGCTCGCACACACACACACACACACACACACACACACACACACACCACTATCACATAATAGAAAATTTACACACCTCATCTGTGGTGTGTTGCCATGATGAAGTGTCGCTGTTATTGCCAAGTGCTGTGACAAGACGCCTTCATCCCCTCTGAGGCCGAGCTGAAGAACTTGAGTCAGTGTGAAGGAGGAACTTGAGTCAGTGTGAAGGAAGAACTTGAATTAGTGTGAAGGAAGAACTTGAGTCAGTGTGAAGGAAGAACTTGAATTAGTGTGAAGGAAGAACTTGAGTCAGTGTGAAGGAAGAACTTGAGTCAGTGTGAAGGAATAAATTAAGTTAGCGTAAAGGAAGAAATTGAGTCAGTGTGAAAGAAGAACTTTTGCCAGTGTGAAGGAAGAAATTGAGTCATTATAGAAGAAGAGTAAAACATTTGAATCCTAATAACTAACTCAGAAATCCTCAAATTGATTTATAAATACAAATATTGATCCTTAAATCCCAAGAATGACTCAGACATCCCCAAACGGCAGGAATTAAATGAGGCACAAAAATCCCAGGCAGGTATAGTATTTGTAGACGAGAGCAACACCTGCCTAACTCACTTGGGGCTTCATTAACGCACGTACGGACCCACCACCCCAGATTCACCTCATCAACGTAACCCGTGTTTTGGTGTATCCCAGGTGTAATGCCTGGAGAAAAAGCTCATTAAATCTGGCTTCCTTTGATTCTTCGTCTTTATTATCGTTTTTATTTCGTGTTTCCTGGTTATTCTTCGTTATTGTGTTTTTTTTTAGTTTTTTTGTGGTAGTTCGTTCTTTAAATCGTAACGGTTTGTTCCTTATTATGTTTTATCCATCTATCTATCTATCTATCTATCAAGCTATCTACCCTCTCTTTTCCTCATCCTTCCATTTATCTCTCTCTCTCTCTTTCTCTCTCTCTAGCAAATATCGCCTCAAAGAAAATAGACAAAAATAAAAGACGAGATAAAACGAAAACCTCTTGATTAAGAGGACTTGTCTTCTTAATGAATGGGAGGTGAGTAAAAGCTCGCCTCCTCTCCCCTCCTCTCCCCTCCTCTCCCCTCTCTTCTCCCCTCACGACCTCGCCAACCTTGCCAACAATGCCCCTCCCATCCCCTCTCCCACCTCAAACCACCTCCTCCCCCCCCCCCAGGACACCTTTTACCCCCCTCTAACCATTCCACTCCTCCCATGCACCCCCTCTCCTATCACTCCCTCTACTTACCCCTCCCCTGCCTCCCTCTCCCTTCCTCTCATTCCCCCCTCCCCCCCTCCATCTTCCCCCCTCCCCTGGGCCAACATTCTTAGAGCCAGATTTAAGGATCGGTCGCCAGTTGTAAGATTGGTGGATGAATTTAAGAAGTTGTTGAGAATATGATATAGTAACCGGGTGTGAAGAGGAGAGAGGGGAGGGGGAAAGGGGTGAGAGGGGAGGAAGGGGAGATGGGTGAGAGTAGAAAAGGAAAAAAGAGAGAGAGAGAGAGAGAGAGAGAGAGAGAGCGTTTGTGAGACGATGATGGAGATACAGAAACGAAGTGTGTGTGTGTGTGTGTGTGTGTGTGTGTGTGTGTGTGTGTGTGTGTGTGTGTGTGTTAGTTATGTGGCCGTTTAAAGAAATATTATGGGTGTTTATTGTTTTCGTCATTCTCCGCTCTCAGTTAGTCAACAAATTTAGAAATATTAACAGCTACTTGAATATTTATAATTTTCTACGGTTATACTTCTCGCGGTATTCTGGCTTTATTAATAAAGTTAAGGGGGTTAAGAACTATATTTTCTTTGTCTGTGTCCCTTAAATTACTACAAAATCCAAATAAGAGGATAAATCTTTGGTATTTAAAGTCAGAATAATGAAAAAGAGGTTACTGTTGTTCGTGTGTCCTCCCAGAGATAGCTCTTATGTAGCGATTCATTTGTTTACATTTTTAATACGGCCGCGTTCAGCGGAGGAAGACTGTTTCATCACCTGAATTTTGTTGATGCTGTTTGATAATAATAATAATGGTAATAATAATAATAATAATAATAATAATAATAATAATAATGGTAATAATAATAATAATAATAATAATAAACATGTATACATATGTGTGTAGTGGGGAGAAGGGCGATGTTCTAGCCATAAACCATATGGGCTTAGACATATATTATATTGGGTAAGAGTAGCGAAACCCAATCATTGTTTCTGCTTTTATTGAAAAAGTATTGTTTATATAATTCCTGAGTGTAAAGCAACCGTAACTTCCACTATTTATGAGTGTGAAAGGAGAGGACGGCGGCTATGTAAATAGACCGTTTAATCACGTCCGTTCGATGTAAGATTATGAGTGTGACTGCCGTGGGTGCCGGATAACCCCAGCTGACCCATGTGCTGACACACAGTCAAATGGGCCGCACCCCAAGGAGGCTACCATTCACGTGATATGAGCATGACCACTCATGGCAAGTGGAAAGTTACAGGGGATGAATCAGTATATAAATCAAATGTAATGAACCCATTTATATAATACTTCTGTTGGTGAGACAGGGGCCATTACAGGGACGAAAAACACCTACTTTCAACATTAACAATTATTAACAAATTTAAATGAACAAAATTACTAAACACTGGCTCGCTCACACTAATATGAACAGTGTCGTGGTGTAGGCGAGGAGCTTAACCTTATTTAACAATGTTGATTCACCAAAACACGCTAAATTTGCTTTGCTGTCACTGTACACACACACACACACACACACACACACACACGCACACACACACACACACACACACACACACACACACACACTTTTGATTTCAAATATTAAACGAAATTACTTCCAATGCAGTTTTTTTTTTTTAAATTTGGAATGTTATTTTGAATTTGTCATGTAAAATAATCCTGGAAAAATAAATGATGGTGGAAATGGGTTACTATACTCGTGATGGAAAACTAAATTAAGGATTTTAATTCTCTTAAATATTTGACTCATCAGAACACGGTAATACCCAGATCGATAAAACTCTCAATACAATTATCACCAATCACAAAACTAAGTATAATTGGATTACTGCCAGCCAAACAGAATTCAGAATTGCCAGGGAAAAAAACAACTCAAATGCTACTGGCTTTGTCCTGACTAATCATAAAAGTGGAGTGAAGCGCTGACGAAAATATAACTCAGAGGTACTAATTGGCACACCTTTGGTCCTCATTCTTCTCACTGTTAAATAAGCTGCAGTTCCTGTCTTAACACCCCATTTCACTTCTCTTAAGCTTATTGCCAGCTTATCGGAAATGAATGTATTCTTATTAATATAATGACTCTTTAATTTCTCTTTTTTTTCTCTCCATATTTTCACTTTCTGTTGTTGTGGATTCAGTCGTGTTTGTTCTCTTCCCGGTTCGTCTGTTAGAGGATCCAAGTTGCTCAATTGTTTTTTTCTGATTTTAATTGTGCTTCCGTGACTTGTATGAGGACTGGCGATGCTCCGTTGTTGTTTTTTTTAACATTTTAAGTAACAGTGATATTCTGTCTTTTATTGTTCTGTTATTTTTGTGGCGTATGGAAAGATTAGCGACGTTCATTTGGGGCCCATTAGGACAGGGACACGTTTGACCTAAACCACATAGGGAATTATTATTATTTTCTCGGTGTAGAGTAAGACAGCTCCAGCAGCAGCCAGGTGACGGTGTTAACAGTCCTTAAGGAGGTTTATATATGGAGAACTAAGTAGAGATCATACCAGGGAGCCACAGCTGCCATGATGTGAGGACCATAGATGCACTGCAAACATTTTTCCTACACACCTGTACACACAGGCTCCGGGAAACAGTGTCGTAACAGTCTTTAAATGCTGAAATGACCCCAAGAGAGTGTTATTCAAAAGTGAACACTATGATACGTGTACAAAGTGTCGGTAGTCATGTGGAGCGTTCCTCAGTTGTTGTGAAGAACAATAAAGTGCCGAGCCCCGCAAGGAAGGTTCTGCCCTCGTAGTGTGTGGTGAAAGAAATCCTCTAAGTGTGTAGAGTGATGATGTGAGTCACTTGTTAAGCAATAAAAAGTGAAGGAAAAAGTGGAAGTGATTATTGTGATAAGTTTTGAAGGAAATTTGTGTTTTTAAGTGTATTGTGAATTTCGGTGTAAATAAAACGAATTGTGTTTTGAGTGTGGAAAATACCTCAGCCTAGAGAGCCAAGTTAATTACCAAAGTTAATATAGAAATGTATCAGTTGTAAGCCTTTGAAAGATTTGTGTAGTGAAATTTTTGTCGGTGTATAAATTACTTCCATTATGCTACTGTATGGACTTGAGTGGGCGCGCCTGGTGCCATGGGCAGGCCCTTGGCGGTTGGTGACGTGGGCGGCAGTGGTGGTAAGCCTGGCCATGGGTGTGGGTGGGTTCATGAGGTCATCACACGTAGTGCATACCCGCTACGGCCATCTGCGTGGACTGATCGTCACACCCAACCACCGAGCTCTTACGCCCGTGGCTGTGTTCCTCGGAGTGCCTTACGCCTCCCCGCCCGTGGGTGCACTGCGGTTCATGCCGCCCACAAACCCTCTGTCGTGGAACGGCATCAAGACAGCGGAGATGCTGCCCCCAGTGTGCCCCCAGAAGCTGCCAGACGTCACCAACAGGAGAGAGGCACTCAAGCGTATGCCGGAGGGCAGGTACAACTACCTGCAGCGCCTCCTGCCTCTCCTTAGCAACCAGAGCGAAGACTGCCTCCACCTCAACATCTACACCCCAGTAATAGGTAAGTAGGAGGAGAACTTTGTGTCACGGTCTGGAGAAGTGACAGGTGCCAAGAAACCAACTGTTGAAACTTATATTTTAGATTTATAGGTTGTGGAATGAATCAATGTAATCAGAGTTAATGACGTGCACGGCAGTAAGTTGAGGGGCTGTAGAGTGTGTCAGGTGTTCTCTGACTCACCTGGCACAGGTGTGGTAAGGGTGTTATCGATATTAGTGATGCGTCGCTTCTATTGTCGACAACGCGTCAATGGTGGAGGAAAGACCTTCAAGGATTATAATAAGGCAGCTGGGTGAGGTATAACTTCCGGCAGCACCGCTGTAGACGACACACAAAAGAACAAACAATTCCTATCCTGGTGTAATCTAACCTGATCAATAACCTATATGAATATAATTAGCAATTTCTGTTATGTTCACCTCAATAAGACTTATGTGTTTTTATGCTTCCATTTACGTGTTGTGGACCAGTTTCTGAAAGACTAACACGATCAAGCTTCCTCGTCCCTGAAGATGTGAGAATGTTCTCAACTAGTTGATCTAAACATAGAAATAACGTTAAAATATTAGATGAAAATTATACAGAGACTCTACCTTAACAGGATACCTTTACTTACAGTAGTATACGAGTTTAGAGACGAAGTAAGGGTATAAAACATAGGGTAACCACTGGTAACAAACCCTTCAGGTACACCGTCGCAAATTTTTCCATCGTCATTGTTTACCTGGACACTCCACGTTCCCCCGTCCACCTCTCGCTCCCCTCCCTCCCGTTCTCCACCTCCGAGTTAAATTAAATTAATTCTTAAATACCTGCTGCCGACTTTTATTCTACATTTTATTTTAATATTGAGAAATAGATGAATTAAGCTTGAAAACCACGGTAAGTTATTCATTGTTTTTATCTGCTTTTGTATTCGGCTCAATTCCCGTCCATCCTGAGCTGTCGAGTGGATATTTTCACAAGTAAGGGCTTTTTTTTCTTCTTCCATGTGCCACCAAATGTAGGTTGTTGGAAGTTTACTTGTGAAGAGGAGAGGACCAGCCACTCTTGACACACACGCACACACACACACACACACACACACACACATAGCAGAGAGAGTGAGGTACTGTGACAGAACCCCACACCACATGGTGTCCCCATAAGAACATAAGAACATAAGAATGGAGGAAACTGCAGCGGGCCTATTGGCCCATACTGGGCAGTCCCGTTTACACCCAACCCCTATTGCTCATATGAGCATCCAACCTATGTTTGAAGCAATTCAGCGTATTCGAGTTAATGATGATATTTGGTAACTTGTTCCATTCATCCACTACTCTGTTTCCAAACCAGTGTTTACCTATTTCACGCCTAAATCTAAATTTGTCTAATTTAAAACCATTGTTACGAGTTCGCTCCTGGTTGGATAGTTTGAGTACCTTTGTAATGTCCCCTTTGTTTAGCCCTGCCTTCCACTTATACACCTCTATCAGGTCGCCCCTCGCTCTACGTCTCTCGAGGGAGTGCAAATTAAAATGCTTTAACCTGTCTCTATACTCAAGGTTCCTAATGCCCGGGATTAGTCTTGTCATTCTCCTCTGAATTCTTTCCAAGGATTCTATATCCATTCTGTAATACGGTGACCAGAACTGAACTGCGTAATCCAGGTGTGGTCTCACAAGAGCAAGATACAGTTTTAGGATGACCTCGCTAGTCTTGTAACTAACACTCCTTTGTATGAACCCAAGTACTTTATTAGCCTTGTTACGAGCAAAATCACATTGTTTACTTGGCTTAAGGTTCCTACTTATCATTACTCCTAAATCTCTCTCGCAGTCGGATTTCTCTATGGCATCGTTGTTCATCTGGTATCTGGTTTCCCTGTTTACATCTCCTATACTGAGTACTTTACATTTGTCGACGTTGAATTTCATCTGCCATTTTTCAGACCATTCGAAAAATTTGTTTAGATCTTCCTGTAGTTTTGCCGAGTCCTCGTCAGATTTGATAACACGTCCTATTTTAGTGTCATCAGCAAATTTACTTATGTTGCTGTCAATGCCGATATCTATGTCGTTTATGTATATAATAAATAATAATGGTCCAAGTACTGAGCCTTGGGGAACTCCACTTGTGACGTTGCTCCAATGGGACTTAGTGCCGTTAATGCTCACTCGCTGTTTCCTGTCCTGTAACCACGCCCTAATCCATTTAAGGATGTCACCCTTGATGCCATGAGCTTCTACCTTTCTAATTAGTCTTTCGTGGGGACTCTGTCGAAGGCTTTGCTAAAGTCGAGATATACCACATCATAATTGTGTCCCTCGTCCACCGATTCGAAAACTGATGAAAAGAATGTTAATAGATTAGTTAGGCAAGAACGTCCGCTTGTGAAGCCATGCTGGGAATCATTGATCAATCGGTGCTTCTCCAGGTGATTTCGAATAGAGTTTGAAATGATTGCTTCCATTAATTTGCCTACTATTGATGTTAGACTGATTGGGCGGTAGTTAGAGGATAGTGATCTATCCCCCTTCTTGAAAATCGGTATTACGTGAGGTCCTTCATATCAACACCCGAGGACGAGTTACTACACCACGTGAACACAACACCACCCGATGTCTCCATGACCACCCCTGGCCCGGGCCATCAACTGTAAACTATAATAATTTGTATGATCAATTCATGTTCCTTCTCCTTTCAGTCATGAAAGCTTTTGTTAAACGACCCACCGACCTCATGTCTTTGTATGTAATAAGTCATTTTTGTTCAATGTACACTTTCAGCCTTTGGGCTGCATAACATTTTCAATAAACTGTTAATTATTATTATTGTTATCGCCACGCATAATTGTGCGCGCTTGCCACATGTTAAGTGAAGAGACTGTTTACACCTCAGAATAGCTTACTAAGCGAGTTGGAGCTGGTAGCAGCTGTGTGACAGCATGAGGGACAGACTATCGCCTTCTACTGTAGAGGCAGCATCTTGATTCTCGTCAGCCAACATCTTCCTGCAGGACATTAGATTTGCTCTCGTTGGTCTAAACCTAGACCCCAAAACGTGAGTGTGATTGTGAACTGTTGAATCCTCTGAGAACTCTAAATAACTTTAATAAGTGTAATTATGTACTGTATATTGATCGTATTATTCAAACTGTGTCCTGATGTACCAGCAGTTGTTATATGTGAACTGTATTCAACAGGTTTTGACCGGATTATACTCATCGGGTCAACGACAAGGGTCTTATTGTCCTGCACAAACCAAAATCGCTCCTACGAGCGATTACATTTATTATTATTATTATTATTATTATTATTATTATTATTATTATTATTTTTATTATTATTATTATTATTATTATTATTATTATTATTATTATTATTATTATTATTATTATTATTACACCTGCACCAGAGACATTCACACAAGCAAAACACACTTTCTTGTACTAACCAAAACACGCACACACACACACACACACACACACACACACACACACACACACACACACACACACACACACACACACACACACACACACACCATAATTCAGTGACCGCGAACGAAAATAGGGAGACATTTTTGTTGTTGTTTGTTGTTTGTTTGTTGTTGTTGTAAAAATATGTAAATACTGTGTTAGGGTTCATTACTTTTATTCTGGGTCCAGAGTTATAGTGAGCAGTTCAGTTAAACGTTACTTGAATAAACATGAGGATTTGATATGACCCTTGTATGGTATTAAGGCTGAACGCGACTTCAGTATGTGAGCTTATAAAATAACTGGCATTTGGCCTGGTATTATACGGAATTAAGCCCTCATAAGACTTTGTATCAGAACTATAAAAAAAGACCGTGTTCATATTCTATGGTATGTATGTCCGATATCCGGGCCAAAAAAAAGGTGTTTTGTCGTGTTTTTACATCTATATATATGAGTGTGTGTGTGTGTGTATGTCCCCTCTACTACCACAACAATCTCGTTTAGTGTTTTTTTCTTGCAGTGAACAGCAAGCATCCCGTGTGCTGTGGCCGCTGTTTGGTTTCAGTGATGCTGTGTAACTTACTGCAATTACAGTAAACTGCGCTGTTCCGGTCTGGCAACACACCGTAACCAACACGATGTACACAGTATGAATATAATGAATAATTATATAACTGTTTACCCAAATACAGGAATTCTCCCTGTACAGTGCCACATAGTCCTAGTAATCACAGGGAAAGTAATTTATATAATAGCACATAATTAGCACCGTCAGTCTGCGTTATTAAAACAGATCAGAACATTAACATCCACCTGATTAAGGGTAATTAGCAGACGATAAACCTGATTTATTGTGCTACAGGTACAGTGTAGTTCTCGGCCTTGAGTCCATAAAGTCAAATTTCTACAATATTTTTGTCGGGTTTTGTTATTGGAAAAAATTTACTCATATGTGGAAACCCATTTATAGAATGAAATGAAAATCCCTAATTACTTAACCTGCTTTTGTGATTCTGTAACGGGAGAGGAGGAAGGGAGAGAGAATGGGGAGGAAGAGGAGAGGGAGTGGGGGAGAAAGGGGAGAAGGAGTGGGGAGGAAGAGGGAGTGGGGGAGGAAAGGGAGAAGGAGGGGGAGGAAGAGGAAAGGGAGGGAAGAAGGGAGATGGGTGGGGGGAGGGAAGGGGAGAAGGAGTGGGGGAGGAAGGGAGAGGAGTGGGGAGAAGGGAAAGGGGGGGGAGGAAGGGGAAGGAGGGGGGAGGAAGGGGAGAGGGAGTGGGGGAGGACGGGAGAGGGGGGGGAGAAGGGGAGAGGGGAGTGGGGAGTGGGAGGGTGGGGAGGAAGGGAGTGGGGGAGGAGGAGGAGAGGAGGGGGAGGAGGGAGAAGGGGGGGGGAGGAAGGGGAGGAGGAGTGGGGAGGAAGAGGGAGAGGGGGAGAAAGGGGAGAGAGTGGGGGGAGGAAGGGAGAGGGTGGGGAGGACGTGGAGGGGAGTGGGGAAGGAAGGGAGAAGGAGTGTGGGAGGAAGGGAGAGGGGAGTGGGGAAGGAAGGGGGAGAAGGAGTGGGGGGAGGAAGGGAGGGGAGTGGGGGAGGGACGTGGAGAGGGAGTGGGAGATGAAGGGGAAGGGGGAGGAGGGGAGAGGGGAGGGGGGGAGGAGGGAGGGAGGGGGGGAGAAGGGGAGAGGGAGTGGGGGGAGGAAGGGGAGGTGGGGGAGGAAGGAGAGAAGGAGTGGGGGAGGAAGGGGAGAAGGAGAGAGGGAGGAAGTGGAGGGGGAGAGGGGGGAGAGGGAGTGGGGGAGGACGTGGAGAGGAAGTGGGGGAGGAAGTGGGAGAGGGAGGAAGGGAGGAGTGGGGGAGGGAGGGAGAAGGAGTGGGGGAGGAGAGGAGAGAGGGGGGGGAGGAAGGGAGAGAGGAGGGGGGGAGGAAGGGGAGAAGGAGTGGGGAGGAAGAGGAAGAGGAGGGGAAGGAAGGGGAGAAGGGGGGGGAGGACGTGGAGAGGGAGGGGGAGGGACGTGGAGATGGGAGAGGAGGAAGGGGAAAAGATGGGGGAGGACGTGGAGAGTGAGTGGGGAAGGAA